CGGACTGAGGGGCTTCGGCCCGTCAGGGGCGGGGCGGCGCGGGGCGGGGACGGGGAGGGATGGTGTCTCCTTCAGACCCCGGCGGCTTTGGGGCTTGGCCAACTTGCCTCATCTCTGTGCGCCCGTTTCTCGCCTCTACAGTGGGATTAACTCCTGGCTGGTAGGAAGAACTGGATGCCCCAGTAAGAGTGAGGTTCAGAACAGCGCCTGCGGCAGGTAGTCAGTGCTGGAGGACATGGACTGGGCATTACTGGTTTTTTTTTGCTGGCAGGATCTTAGTTGCAGCATGCGAACTCTAGTCGCGGCATTTTTGATTTTTTAGTTGTGGCCTGTGGGATCTAGTTCCTTGACCAACGGGTGCCTTGCATTGGGATCGCACTGGACCACCAGGGAAGTCATTGAGCATTACTATTTAAACCAGAATCGAAGTCAAGTCCTCCACAGCTTACTAGTCCACGCCCCCTCCGCTTGATTGTGAAATGGAGGGTTGAATTCCTTGCATCCCACCCCTTTCTGTTAATAACTTTTTCCTCCCTCCCAGCTGGGCCTTCTATGATAGTGCCCAAGCTGAATGGACCCGTATGGGCCACTGTGCCCTTGTCTGAGGAGGGAAGGGCGAGGCTTCCTGAGGTCAGGCAGTGGGGGGAGGGGCAGAGCTCGGATAGGGTCTTGTCTGGGCTGACTGCTCCCACCAGCGCTTGGAGGGTCTGTCGGAGCTGGTACTTCACCTTCTCAGATCCCATTTGGCTGTGCTCGGCTTTGAACCCGGCCCCAACACATGTCTGTTACAACACTCTCATGACGTGGCCATCACCACCCTGTGTTCAGAGGAGTAAGCTGAGGCCCCCGCAGGCCAGAACTCAAACACCTTTTCCTTCCTCTTCCTCTGCTGTGGTGCCCACCCTGTCGCACATGGCTGTGACTTTCAGGGCGCCCCCGCTACTCTCCTTCCAAGAGGCCCCCTGACTTTTCAAGGCTCCTGAGAGGCCTCTGATTTCCTTGTGGGTGCTCAGGAGACCCTCAACACTCAGAGAAAGAAGAAAAAGGGGACTTTTGGGGGTGTTCCTTCTTTCTTTCCCTAATGAGTGCAGCCATTAGGGACACCCTCTTGAGTTGGCTGGGGTCAGGACTGGATGAGCCCAGCTGCCTTTGTAAACTTGCCCTGTCTGTCGCCTCCTGCTCAGATGGTTAACTCTAAAGTGGACCAGGATCCCTGGCCAAGCCCAGGGAGCCTGTCCTCACCAGTCTGCAAGACCGGGCTGTGCATCCAGGCCCTGAAATGGTCTGGGTGTGTATAAGGGTGGGCTGAGGGCTCCTCTGTTCCCAGGCCCCCACCGTGCCTCAGCTGGGGAGGGGAATGGCCCTGCCATGGTGACTTGCAGCCAGGCCCTGGAAGCCAGCTCACTGTGCCCATTGAGAGAGATGGACACTGAGGCTGAGAGGCGGAGCAGCCCTGTGGCTCCTAGTGCAGGTGTGTGCCTACCATCCCCTGGCAGAGCTAGGCTGGTGAGTCCCCAGCAAGTTCCAGGTCTGAGAAGGAAAGAGCAGCTGTGTGCATTCAGTCCTTGGGTTCCGGGCATGCCCCTCTCACTGGAGTCACTTACTCTATCCTCAGCATTGCTGGTGGTGGTGATGGAGGGGCTGCTCTGCCCATTTTACAGAGGAGGAGACAGGCAGGGAGAGTGACCAACATGCCTGCATTCTTAGACCTTGGAGGTAGAAGAACTAGGATTCATGCCACCAGTGCTTCTTGAGCACTTACTATGTGCCACACATTGTTGTGAGTGCTGGGGGCTCCACCACCTGAGGGTCAGTGGACAATAAAGCATAGACCATCCTGAAGAACAAGATCTGTGATAAATAAGGTTGGGGTGTTGGGAAAATGCCGGTGCTTTATGTTTTTGTGGCCACACTGCATGGCATGTGGGATCTCAGTTCCCCAACCAGGGATCAAACCCTGCCCCCCGCAGTGGGAGCATAGAGTCTTAACCACTGGACCACCAGGGAAGTTCCAAGCGCTGTTGTTTAGAGTCAGGTGTCCGGGAGGGCCACCCAAAGAGGAGACAAGCAAGGGAGCTACGGTGGCAAGAGTGCTCCTTGTGGAAGGGGCGGCAAGTGCAAAGGCCCTGGGGTGCCTGGTGTGTACTGGGAGTAGCAGAGGGGGGAGAAACAGAACCAGGTCACACAGGACATCAAGAGGCATGGGGGCAGGTGGTGTGGGGCTGTGGCAGGCATTATGAGAACTTGGCCTTGACTGTGGGTGAGGTGGGTGCCTGAGAGGGCCCTGAGCAGAGAGTGGATCGGATGTCATGGGCTCCCTCAGGCTGCCTGGGGGCAGGCAGTGTGAGCAGATGGGGAGAAAGCCCAGTTCCTCGGTGCTTGCTGAATGAAGCGTGGACAGATCTTGCTGACATGGGGTGTGAGAGGACATGGGTGCTCAGGCTTTTGCCTGACCCCCAGATCCAGGGCCTGAAATGCTGGGGTGACATGTGGGCTACCTCAAATAGTGAGGACCCAGCCCTGGGGGACTCTGGGGGAGGTACCAGGAAGAGGGAGCAGCTGGCTGAGGCGGGTGGACCTGAGGGCTGCAAGGAGGCCACTTAGCTGAGGATGGGTGGGATCTGACTCTGCTTCCACCGGGGATACAGGGGCCGGTGGACGTGTGAACAGTCAGATTCCAGGCACATATTGAAAGTTCTGCCCACGGGACTGCCAAAGCCTCAGACTGGGGTCTGAGAGACGTGTGAGAAGGACCCCAAGCACCTTGGCCTGACTTGTTCGTGGCCATGTCCCCAGCTCCCGAGAAGTACCACAGATGGGCTCAGTGAACTTTTGTCAAGGAGACAGAGGGGTGGGTGAGCACGTGGTTGGATGGACAGGCAGGCTGGCTGAGAGGCTGGAACTCCCGCTAAGTGTTTCTCCAGCAGGGGACTGGGGCAGACTGGTGCACCAGGCCTGAGAGGGTGTGAAGGTCAGTTTCCTGTGCCTCCTGGGCCCGGTCACTTTCCTGTGGATGCTGGTTCTGCTGCTTCTGACCTTCCCCAAGGTCTAGTGGGTGGTCTAGCTCTCTGGTCTGTTCAGGCTCTGGTCTAGTTGGCAACTTGCTGAGCCCCGCTCTACATCCATGTTGGGCCTGGGGCTCCCATAGCATTGGGCAGGTGCTCCAGTGGGTGTGCAGAGAGCTGGGCCTTGGGGAGCACCGGGAGCCCTGGGATGCTAAGCTTGATGATAGCATAAAAGGCCCACATGGGGCTCGGTGTATTCTGGGCAGTGTTCTAAGCACCCTAATCCTCCAGACACTCTCCTGAGGAGTGCTCTGTTACATCCATACTTTGTGGATAAGGAACTGAGGCTCGGAGAGGTGATTCCAGACCCAGCCCTGCAGCCTAGGACCAAACCCCTGACCCTCCCCCCAGGCCTCCCTGCTGGTTCAGGGCCTCACCCGCCCACCCCCTCCCCACAGGATGTCACGACCGGGCAGTCCTGCTCTATGAGTATGTGGGCAAGCGGATCGTGGACCTACAGCACACGGAGGTCCCTGACGCCTACCGCGGGCGCGGCATCGCCAAGCACCTGGCCAAGGTAGGGCATGGAGGCTGACCCCGCTCAGAGGAGACCAGGCCCAGTGGTGGCCACTGGGCCACCCACCCATGGGCTGCAGTGCCACCCCCTTTCACCGCTACGCCCCCACCTCCCAGGCCGGGCCCCCAGGGACCCGGACACCTGCCTTATGTGGGGAGCTCACTGCTGGGATCCAGTGTGCATGGATGGTAGGTGCCCAGTGAACTCTCCAGAGGCCGAGCCTGGCGCCAAGGGTGAGGGTGGCCGTGAGTCCCCTAAAAGCTGCTCGGGGCCCCACCCTCTGCTGCCCTCCTGTCTCCTCTGCCCCTCTGCCCTTTTCAGGGGCAGCTCTGTGCTGGTCTGTGGGGCCATCCTGTTACCAGTGAGGAGCCCAGGGTGACAGGAGCGGGGTGGGAATCTGCTGGGCATGAGGGTGCTTACCTGCAGCCCTCAGTTCATCTGCAGAATGGGAGAAGAGATTGGAATCCTATCACCAGAGGGTCTCAGGCTGAACCCGGGGGTCAGGTGTGGGGTGCTGAGTGATCAGGCGGTTCCAGACCCACTGGGTCAACAACTGCAGGCTGACCGCTCCTACTGCTGGCCTTGGGATCCCTGTGAACACTGAGAAACCTCTGCCAGGAGCAGAGGGAGCTCCAGGTGCCCTGATCCAGCCCACAGGGGTGGCTTCCTGGAGGAGGCATCCGGTGAAGAAGGTTCTCCTGGGCGGATCTGACCCTGGCCCCCTTGCTTCCCTGCCGTGTCCCTCAGGAAGTTTTATCAGTCTACCCCAGTTTCCCAGCGCCTCTGCATCCATCGCAGACCCAAGGGAAAGCCTGGAGTGTGAGGGACTGGGGCTCTGACCACTTTTCTCTCTGCCTGGCTGCCAGGCCGCTCTGGACTTTGTGGTGGAGGAGGACCTGAGAGCCCATGTCACGTGCTGGTACATCCAGAAGTTCGTCAAGGAGAACCCTCTACCGCAGTACCTGGAGCGCCTGCAGCCATAGCCCTGGCTCCACAGGGCTCGAGCCCGCCTATCGGACCCCCAGGCTTCGCCCTGGCCTCCGTGTGCTCTCAGGAATCCTGGTCCCCACAGGGGACGAACTCAGAGTTATTTTTGTAAGGACACTCGTCTGTGGCCCTGGGAGGCGGCTGGCCAAGGATGGGCCATGGTCCAGCTGCCATGGCGAAGTGGGGCCCGGCTGTTCCCGCTCTGCAGACAGTGTGAGGGCCTGCAGTCGGGACCAGAATGTGTGGACAGGGGCGTCCCTCTGGCCATGCCAGGTCCCACCTGCTGCTCTGTGCTTTGTGAGGGGCAGCAGAGGGTCCGCTCCCCAGATGAGGAGCAATAAGGAACTATGTGTGCCAACTTCCAGGGCCATTGGGCCAGGTGAGGTGGCCCGCATGCTGCCCCTGCTCTGACTCTGTGCCTGGTGCAGGAGATGGCTACAACCACGGGAGCCCTCCCTGATGAACAGGGCCAGGAATGGGCTGGGTGCCAGTCCAGGCTTAGCTGCTCGCGGGCGCACGCGCACACACACACGCACACGCACACACAGTTGGTGTCTCTCCTTTACATACACACATGCGCGCGCGCGCTCGGCTGGTGTCCCCTTGGCAACCCGCCATGCAGGATAGTGGTCCTCTCCCTCCACCCCACCCTATGCCTGCCCTCCCCTTTCCATCTGAGTGTCTTGGGGTCCCTGCCCCTCATTGTAGGTAAGCTTTCTCAAAGAGGACCCTTTGGAGCTGGAGTGGGAGGGAGAAAGCTGTTCTTCACAGACCATTCTCACCACCCAGAGGAAGAAGCTGTTCAGAGGGATTTCCTGTGCAAACGCCACACGTCAGAGCATCCTTCCCTTCGTGCAAGCCTGTGGCCCATCAGGAGTCTGAGGCCCCTCCCAGGCTGCCTTCTTGGGAACAGCTTGGGGAGCACCCCAGCACCTTTGTTCTGTGGGGCCTGCCTTTGTGGTGACTTCCTTTTAGGAACTGGTTGAGGCCCAGAGTGCAGCCTCCTGTGTCCTGCTTCCCACAAGGGCCGAATTCACGCTTGCTCCCCGTGGGGCCAGAGGGCAGCTCAGGAGTCCCGTCTCTCTGGGGCTGAGATGTGAGTTAACAGTGAAACCCTGGGATGACATGGCCACTGGCTGGGGTGGATGCTTGCCCCGGTGACCCCTCCGTCTGACCTTGGTGCTCCCACTTACGTATGACATCTCACCCAGCAGTGGGGCTATCTCCATCTACATGTGTCCAAAGGCCTGGCAGCCCTGAGTCACTGTCCTCGGCCCACACACCCCTCCCAGCACCCAGCCCGCCTCTGGCCTCCAGGAATTCTTTAGAAGTTGCAGGGCACCCTCCCCTTCCCTCTGTGCCCCTGGCTGTGTTTGCAAAGAGCTCTGGGGGAATGTCCTCTGAGGCCACACATGTGCCCTCCTTGTGCATTGTAAGAGCAGAGTAGGTAGTAGGCCTGAGGGTGGACTGTCGGGCAGCCCAGGCTCTGGGTCATTTCCCTCTCCAGCATCACCCCCTCCCATCCACACTCCCCACGTTCAAGCACAGACTTCGTCATGAAAACTCTCCAGTAGCTCAGAAAGCTGGTGCTGATGCCTTTGCGGCCTTCCGGGTGAGGTGACCTGGTTCCAGGAGGCGCTGTCCATGGGAGGGTGTCCTGCAACAGTGGCACAGGGGATCCCAGGGCAAGTTGCATGTGGAGGGACCGGAGGGCTGGGTGGCACGAGGGGGCCCGCCATGCCCCAGCCTGCACCTGTGTCCTCCCAGCGGGTGACTCTGGCTGCCCGGCTGGCACACACAGCACTTAGTACTTGAACCAGGGATGTACAGGGTCCCCAGGGCCCCTGCGGCACTGGGCCAGGGACAGCTCGTCCCCAGTTTCTACAGGTGCGACCTGGGCCCCCTTGCCTCGGGCTGCCTTACAAAATGCCGCTGCTCTCACTACGGCCCTTGACAGCAGCAACGGCCAACTCCCCCAATTGGGTGGGTGTGCTGCAGTCCCTCCACCAGAGCCCCAGTCCCCTCCACCAGCACTCCCAATCCTGACATTGCTGGTGCTAGCCCGACTGACGTCTCAGCCTCGCCCTCCCGCCCCACCCATCCCAGGAAACTTGGGGAACCCTCACTCAGGAGGCAGGTCACGTGGGCTAGTTTGTGTGCCGCCAGCAGGGAATGGGAAAGCTCAGAGACCCACCAGGCCCCCAGCAGATGGCTCCATGGTCGCGTGCTCTCCTGCCAGGGCCGTTCAGTAGGTCTCTCACCCAGTTGAAACAGGCGGCCACCCATGTGCCTTTCCCACTCAGGACCTGCTGCAGGTGGCGTCTGGGCCAGGGCTGGTCTCCAGACGGAGTGCATGACATTTCAATAAAAGGTGTGACCCAGTATGGCTCTAGGACTGCTTCTGGAAGGGCAGGGGTGTTCCCCTCCCTCGCCTCCGCTCCACCCCCAGGGCAGCCAGGCTCCCCAGGGTGGGAAGCCCTCAGGAGTGAGGGAGGAGCCAGAGGGCAGACCTGGCAGGTGCTCTGGACTCCTGCATCCTCACTGGCAGGGAAGTGAGGCCCTGAGGGATGCAGGTGGCATCAGGATCTGGGGGTCTGCTGGCTGGGCCTGCACCTCCTCCCAGGTATGGGCCCCTCTGAGGTCACAGGAGCCCCTCACAGGCTCCCCTTGCTGGGAGCAGCTGGACAGGGGGACCAGGAGGAGAATGTCACGTCATGTCATCTGCTCTGTCTGCCCCTCTTCCTCCAGGAACCCTCTCAGTGCTTCTGTCCATGGGGCTAGGCAGAGCACTCAGGCAGGCCAGGGTCAGCAGCACTTAGGACACGTGGGAAGGCGAGCCTCCTGCATGAAGTCTGGAGCTTGAGGACTCCAGGGTGGAGCATGTTCCTCTGGGTCCCCCAGGGGGCCTCTGTGGTCACGACCAGCTTGGCTTCCATAGCAGCTGGGGGTGGGGGGTCAGGAGGCTACAGAAAGGTGAGGAGAATAGGACCCATACCCAGTTGCTGCCCCCCCCATGTCTGTGTCCTATGGTGGGGCCCTTGCGGGGCGATACCCAGGGACACACTCAGCTACTGCCCTACAGCAGCCTGGGGTCTAGAAGTAAAACCCATGTTACTCTCCACCCCAAACCTGAATGAAACGGTAGGGCAGGGACAGGACAGGCTCAGTGAAGTCCCAGTGGGAGAAGGAAGGGCAGGAGCAGCCAGGTGGCTCTGGGGTGGGTAATGGGTGCTGCAGGCCCTGCTTGACTGGCCCTCCCCCTCTGGTGCCCCCGCAGCCACCTCTCAGGAGTCTGCTCACTTTCCTGCCCACGTACGTGTCAGTAGGCTTTCCTCCAAGCAGTAGCTCAGGGGCCCGAGGCCCCTCTAGCCTGCAGAGCTGCCATCCCCAGAGCTGACTGTGTCTGTCTGTGGCGCAGGTGGGACAGGACCTGCTGTGGAGGAGGCTGGGGACAGGTTCCAGGCATACAAACAAGGAGCCTGCGTTCTGAGGCCTGGATGGGAAGAAGACAGCACAACCCTGCTGGGATATGGACTTGGGGAGGGCTCTTTGCTCACAGCATGAGGCAGGGTCCCCTCAAGACAGCCTGGCTGGCAAGGTGAACCTGGGTGGTTCAAAGCCTGGAGTTACATGGCAGGAGAGACCAGCACACACAGTTCTCGGTCTCTGGGTAAAAGCAGTTTTGTTTTGTTAACTGAGCTATATATATATACACACACACACACACACATATATATGTATAGTTACTATACAATTAAATAAGTTCCCGATGTTCAAGATAATGATTCAGTTGGCCTGCCCAACACTTCCACAAACAATGCCCTGTATTAAATCCATTCTGTTTGAAATACCTAGGGTGGATTTTTTTCCCCTAATTAGACACTGACTACTTGATTTACAGTTAAGAAAGGTGATATTCAGAGAGGATATGACTAGCCAAAGGCAAACCCAGTATCTCTCCTGTCACCCTGGTCTCAGTACTGGGTCACAATACTCTGTTCCCAGCTCTTCCTTGCACACTCCTGCAGGCCCCATGCAGATGCCATCTCTTGAAAAAGACCCCTAGCCACCTGTAACCTCCAAGTCATCTATTAAATCATTCTGCTTAATTTATTATCATTCTGGAAATAGTTACTTAGTTGTTAATCCCATTGGACTGGAAACAGACCAACTGCAGGGCATGAGGAATCTTAGTTCCCTGACCAGGGATCAAAACCCTGCATTAGAATTGCAGAGTATTAACCACTGGACCACCAGGGAAGTCCCAGACCAGGAAGTGTTTGTCTTACTAAATGCTGTGACTCTGGTGTCTAGAATACCTGACACTGAGTGTGCACAAGACAATTACTTGTCATAAGAATGAATGGCTCACTGGTAAAGAATCTGCCACCAATGCAGGAGACACAGGTTCCATCCTTGATCCAGGAAGATTCCACATGCCGCGGAGCAGCAAAGTCCATGTGCCACAACTAGAACCCAAGAACCACAACTACTGAAGCCCATGTGCCCTATAGCCTATGCTCTGCAACAAGAGAAGACATCTCAATGAGAAGCCCGCACTGCAACTAGAGAGTAGCTGCCACTCGCCACAACTAGAAAAAGTCCTCACAGCAATGAAGACCCAGCACATCCAAAAATAAACAAAATTATATATATGTATGTATATATTGTTGTTATTCAGTCACTCAGTCATGTCTGAGACTCTCTGACCCTATGAACTGCAGCACGCCAGGTTTCCGTCCTTCACTATCTCCCAGAGGTTGCTCAAGTTTATGTCCATCAAGTTGGTGATGCCATCCAACCATCTCATCCTCTGTCATCCTCTTCTCCTGACTTCAATCTTTCCCAGCATCAGGGTCTTTTCCAATGAGCTGCATCAGGTGGTCAAAGTATTGAAAGTATTGGAGCTTCAGCTTCAGCATCAGTCCTTCCAAAGAATATTCGGGACTGATTTCCTTTATGATAGACTGGTTCAATCTCTTTGTAGTCCAAGGGACACTCAAGAGTCTTCTCCAACACCACAGTTCAAAAGCATCACTTCTTTGGTGCTCAGCCTTCTTTGTGGTCCAACTCTCACATCCATACATGACTACTGGAAAAACCATAGCTTTGAATAGATGGACCTTTGTTAGCAAAGTAATGTCTCTGCTTTTTTGTTGTTGTTGTTTGGTCTCTGCTTTTTAAAACGTTGTCTAGGTTTGTCACCAAAGAGCAAGCATCTTTTAATTTCACTCACCATCTGCAGTGATTTTGGAGCCGAAGAAAATAAAGTCTCTCACTGTTTCCATTGTTTCCCCATCTATTTGCCATGAAGTGATGGGACCAGATGCCATGATCTTCATTTTTCAAATGATAAGTTTTAAGCCAGTTTTTTCACTCTTCTTAACCTTCATCAACTGGCTCTTTAGTTCCTCCTCGCTTTCTTCCATAAGGGTGGTATTATCTGCATATCTGAGGTTATTGATATTTCTTCCGGCAATCCTCATTCCAGCTTGTGCATCATCCAGCCCAGCATTTTGCATGATGTACTCTGCAAAGAAGTTAAATAAGCAGGGTGACTATATACAGCCTTGATGTACTCCTTTGCCAATTTGTAATCAGTCCATTGTTCCATGTACGGTTCTAACCATTGCTTCTTGACTTACATACAGATTTCTCAGGGGGCAGGTAAGGTGGTCTGGTATTCCCACCTCTTGAAGAATTTTCCAGTTTGTTGTGATCCACACAGTCAAAAGCTTTAGCGTAGTCCATGAAGCAGTTATTTCTCTGGAATGCTCTTGCTTTTTCTGTAATCAAAGGGATGTTGGCAATTTGATCTCTGGTTCCTCTGCCTTTTTGAAGTCCAGCTTGAACATCTGGAATTTCTCTGTTCACGTACTGTCGAAGCCTAGCTTGGAGAATTTTGAGCATTACTTTGCTAGCATGTGGGATGAGTGCACTTGTGTGGTAGTTTGAAAATTCTTTGGCATTGCTTTTCTTTGGGACTGGAATGAAAACTTACCTTTTCCAGTTATATACATATAAAGAAATACATCCTTTAAAAAAATGGAAGAATGAAAAAAAAAAAATGAAGAAAAGGGTGGTAAGGGAAGTGGCACATGATTTCTGAGCGCCAGACCAGCTAGAACCCATCTGCCCTGTAGGCTAACTCTTTGCCAGCAGTCAGTGGTCCCTGGGGGCCTACAGGAATTCCAACTCCAGCCATTCAGATTGTGCCCTCAGGGGGAGCTGTTACTATATGCTGAGGGAGTCAACCTGCCTGTGATGCTTCTGGGTATCTGTGCATTAGTAGTGATCAAGAGGTGACGTTCTGAGGGGTCTCTGCTCAAGTTAGCAGGCTGAGGCAAACGGCCTGTTAGAAGTTAAGTGCAACTGCGGGGAGAGGATCCCAGGTCCACAGCTTCTGAGCACTTTCCTCTGTGCATGAGATCGCAGCCTGACTCTTCCTGAGAGTTACCAGAAGGAGCAAAATCTCAGCAACTAGTCAGCTTAGGCTCAAATCCTGGCACATGAGGTCAGAGAGTCAATCAGGTAGGTTCTTCTCATTTGCAAAATGAGAATGTTGATAATAACAGTATCACTTTCATCGGGCTGTTGTGAAGATAAAAGTCACTCCAATTTTTACATAAGGGCCTGTCCTGACTTAAATCAGCTGATTGTTACTTGTGTGCTGAGTTCCTCAGGTGTCACCTTATGTAATACTCACACTGGTCCTCTTAGGAGAGGTGCTAGCTAGTATCACTCCAAGGTTACAAACCAGGAGGCAAAGAAACAGCAGTTAAATACGCAGACCCAGATGGAGAGCCACACTTCAAACCCAGCGGTTCTAGAACCCGAGGAAATGCTCTGAATCAGCAAACGAGAGAAAACAGACTAACCACAAGGCAATGTGGTCATCGTTCATCTGTCTTTAGTAGTGCTGGCATCTGGAGGTGGAACTGTGACCCAACGGAAGAGCAGGAACTGCTGAAGGGCGGTTGGTGGGGAGAGAAAGGCATTTTAGGCACAGTAATGGACCGTCTGTGGGTCAACTCGCACTCTCTGAATCTGCTAACCGGGCCAGCTTTAAGCAGGAAAGGGAGGTAGTTGAAGCTGGAGAGGGGAGCAATCTCTATATTTCGGAGGGGCTTCTGGGTTGCGCCAAGGAGCCTGAGTTGCATCTTGTAGTATTGACGGCTTGTAAGAGGATATGACATTTAAGACTATTGTAGATTGTGAACCGAAAGGAAATCCTGGGGAATCCTCAACGACAGAAGCCGCACCTACACCAAAGAGCCCTCCAGCCCTGGGTCAGCAGTTTCTGCCAGCCCTGAAGGCTGAGAGCAGGCGCCGTGGTTCTCCCGTCTCTGAACTCGGAGCAAATTTTGACAGGAGAGTTGCCCAAATGCTCATAGGTCTAATTAATATGTCTAGCAAGGCTGTCGGTCGGAAGCAGGAGAGGGACTACACGTTCCAGAGCTGCGAGGGGCCCCCAGATCAGCCCCCCGCTCAGAAGAGACAACGGGCAAGAGTCACTGGGCTCCGTCCGCCCTCCCGACTCGGCAGCGTCCAGGCAGGGCTCCAGCCGGCGGGGTGAGGAACCAGCAAAGGCCTTCGAAGACGCCCAAGAGTGGGGCTGGTGTCCTCGCTACCGTGGCCGGACGAGGGTGGGACGTGCGCGCGGCCATCTCTCTCTGCAGCCATGGCACTTCTCCGCTTCCAGACCCACTGGGCCAAAAGTCTGGCAGCAGGGACTCCGCCGCGGCGGTCACCTCTTCTCTTTTGCCTCCCAAGTATTTGGGGGATGAGTGGCAGTGGCCCTTCGGTGACCTCAGCGGTCGAAGCTCTCAAAACACAGGGTGCCGGGTGAAGTCTAGTCCGGAAATGGACCCTCAGCGCCGCCTGTCTGAGCCCGCGTTCCCAGGCGGCCGCGGGGCGGGCTTCCGGAGCGCGGTGCGTTGTGGACTTTGTAGTCTCGCGGGGCCGGGCCCCCGCCTCGCGCGCCGTCCGGGAAGGCAGCCGGACTACATCTCCCTCCCGCCCGCGCGGTGTCGCGAGGCCGCCCGGCGCGAGGCGTTCGCGAGCGGAGAGTCTCCAAGATGGCCGCGTGGGGAAGGAGGCGTCTCGGCCCGGGAAGCGGCGGTGGCGGCGCTCGAGAGAGGTGAGGCGCGGGCTGCTCCCCGCGAGCGGTTTAGGGCGGGAAACCGGCGGGGCTCTTTGGACTGCAGTGCCGTCCCCGCCTCCGCCCCGGGGTTCGCCCCGGTCCGCCCCCGGGCGCGCGAGGTCTCAGTTCCGGCCGACGCGGTCTCAGCGGGCGGCTCAGGGAGGGGTGATGGCTGGCGGGGCACTGCTGGGCCGCGGCGGGACCCGCCTGCATGGCACGGGCAGAGCGGCGCGGGAGCCCCCGCCCGCCTGGCCGCGCGCGTGGTCTTCTCCAAGCCGCAGCGAGGAGTGGTTCCCGGGACGGAGAAGGAAGGGGAAGCTTTCTTAGGGAGCCGGTGCGGGGCGGACGGGACGGACCGCACGGTTTCCGAGGGGCCTCAGCTTTCCGCGTTGTCGCTCCGGACGGGGAGCTGACCACTTTCCCCCGGGGGTGATCCTCGGGACTTTGGAGGCGTCTCCGTGAGCGCCCCTGCTGTGGAAGTCCTTTGCAGTGACCTTCCCTAACGAATGTGCGTGAGTAGGGAACCGGGGGCTTGGTTCGTCCAAGGTGGATCTGGATGGGACGGACTCATTTCTAGAAGAGATTGGAGTAGTTCTCGTGTTTCGTGTTGAATTTACAGTTTTTGCTTCTGGAAAACAGTTTCAGCTTAGTAGAAGCTGTTCAGACACCAGAAGTTTGGGAAAGGAGATGTACTGGTGGAGTCACCCGCTTTGTACTGTCCTGACCCTTCTGTTACGAGCGGGCTGGTGCGGCAGAAATCAGCAGGATCTCCGTGTTGTTTTTTTTCCCCCCCAATGAGGATTGTTAAACAGAAAAGTTGTCTCCCCCGCGCCTTTTCTCCCAACTACTCTGCGTTATTCTTTTTCTTTGATCGTTTGCACCACCTACTCTTTGCGGTAGCCTCCTGTTTGTGGTTTAGGTCGCTAAGTCGCGTCCCACTCTTGAGACCCCATGAACTGTAGCCTGCCAGGCTCCTTTGTCCATGGGATTTTCCAGGCAAGATTATTGGAGTAGGTTGCCATTTCCTTCTCCAGGGGGTCTTCCCGATCCAGGGATCGAACCCGGGTCTCTTGCATTTCAGGCAGATTCTTTACCAACTGAGGTTAGTTGTGTTGATAGAACCCTCTAGCTTGCATCTTATTCTTGAGCTCAGTTATCCAACCTTGTCTCTTCTGCACTTCCTCTTCCTTGAAGCAGCAGTAAATGGCTAGCAGGTACTTTTGTTTTTCCTACTTACACCTGGCATTTCGTAGATCGTTCCATAAAAAGTTAAGGAGGTGATCGCCTTACGGGATAGAAACAACAGAAAGGGCCAAATGAGGAGACCCAGACCTCATACAGGGCCACGCTGGCAAAACAGAAGCCTTTACTGATCTAAGAAATTAGATGTGGGGTTTTTTTTCTCCTTGTTTTAAGACAAGTGTTAATTCAAAATTGAGTTTGCAAACCAAGATCCCAAAGGCTGAATTTAGTCCTTGACTGTGACCGTCAGTTTTAAAGAGAATTTTGAGTGAGTTATCAGTGCTTGTAAATGGAAAGACTTCACATTAAAGTCCCCTTGGAAAGCTCTCATTGGCTCTCTTTGGTCAGGGCAGGTGTTCATCATTCCTACCTGACAGCTTGACTCATTGCAGTTTCATGCCCGGTCTGCTTAAGTGTTCCCACTACACCCTTACACCTGAACAGCAGGCTCTGCTTGTACATGCACATGTTGTGTGTCAGCCAGGAATGGGGCGTCTAGTTTTGTGGTTTGGGTGGCACCATCTGCCCTTCTCCTAGATAACGTGGTATGGCTGCGGGGCCCCTGTTTGCTCTGCTGGAGGAGCGTTTGCTGGGGCCTGGTTTCCCTGAGCCCACACTGAGCAGGGGGTGGAAACCTAACCCGCCCAGGCACACCTCCATTCCTGCTCATTGGGTGGGAGGACTTTGGGGTGGGGCAGGCGGATTAACTGCCCACAGCATAGACTGAAGCCCAGGCAAACTAGAGGCTCCGTGACTACAGTAGGCTGTTTATGGTGCTCTTGAATGACTTTGTTCCATGTCACATTTGTGCTGACTCAGATTTCAGCTCCACACTGTAAGACCACTTTACCAAATTGTCACACACCCTTAGTTGGAATCTGGTTTATGCTGACACTCTAGGAAACATGGTCTGGTTTGGGGCATTGGCTGGAGCAGAGCAATGCTTTGGGCAGGCTTTCCAGATTTGCCTGTGGCTGCAAACTCCAAAGCCTGCCTTGGGCTTGAAGGCCCTGCTTGGTGCCCGACAGTTGGCAGGAGTTACTGCTGTCATCTGTGTGTTAGTGGCTGTCCAGTTTAGAAGGCACATTGTGTGGGTTCTTGCTTTACCTGATTCTTGAGTCTAGAGCTGTGTTAATTCAGTGCCCACTTGTCATTTGCAACAATTAAATCTAAATTAAAGTGAAAACTTCAGCTCCTCAGCCAAAGTACTCACATTGCAAGTGCTCAGTAGCCAGCCATGGCTTGTGGCTCATATACTGGATGGTGCAGATAGAGAACAGAAAGGTCAGCTCTGGTCTAGACCAGGATAAGAGAGGGATGGAAATAAAGAATGAGAGTCGCTTGCATGTTTTTAAAGTTTATTTTATTGAAGTATAGTTGATTTACAATGTTGTGTTAATTTTTTTTTTTAAGAGAATCCCCAGGCTTCCAATAGAAGCTGTTGGTCTGTACTGTTTTAAAGTCTTTATTGAATTTATTACAAAATTGCTTCTGTTTTATGTTTTGTTTTCTTGGCCATGAGGCATGTGGGATCTTAGTTCCCTGACCAGGGATCAAATCCAGATCGCCTGCATTGGAAGGCGAAGTCTTAACCACTGGACTACTAGAGAAGTTTCCCCCCACACACACTTTTTTTTTTTAAGTATTTTATTTCTGACTGCATCAGGTCTTGGTTGTGGAACGCAGACTCTTCCTTGAGTTATGTGGGCCTACCTCTCTCTAGTTGAGGCACATGGGCTCAGTCGCTGCAGCTCATTGGCTTCCTTGCCCCTTCTAACTGTTGTGATTGATTTGAACATGGGTGCAAAAATATGTTTGAGTTTGAGTCCTGCTTTTAATTATTTTGGATCTATACCTAGAAGCGGGATTGCTGGATCATATAGTAGCTCTATTTTTTGAGCAACTTCTACACATTTGCCACAGTGGCTGCTCCAATTTACATTCCCATCAACAATGCATATGTGGGATCTTCCCAAACCAGGATTTGAACCTGTGTGCCCTGTATTGGGAGGTGGATTCTTAACCAGTGGACCACCTGGGAAGTCCCTAACTGGCCTTTTGAGTCCACAGCATAGGATTTTACTGATTTCCTTGGCTTCCGAGGAAGTGATTTGGCATTTGCCAAATGTGGGTTTTCCTAGACCTCGGGGTGGGGGGGGAGGGTTGGTAAAGGCCACCACCTGGTGTGGTCATGTTATGCCATACTTCCTGGGTGGGAAGCAACTTCATTAGTAGTTTTTCACAATATATTAGTTTAATTTTTACAACAATTTAACAGGTTTTCAGCCACAGGTGCTCTAATTACTGTAATTTTCTCCTCTTGTGGCCTCTTTTTTTTTTTTTGCTGTGCCGGGTCTTCATTGCTGCACGCTGGCTTTCTCTAGTTGCTTCTCGTGGTCTTCTCATTGTGGTGGCATCTCTTGGTGTGGAACACAGGTTCCAGCGCAGGCTCAGTAGTTGATGCCCCACAGCATGTGGGATCCTCCCAGACCAGGACCTTGCATTACAAGGTAGATTCTTAATCACTGGACCACCCAGGAAGCCCTCTTGTCATTCCCTTCCAAAGTACTTCCTCTAAGTCTGTTGGGAACCTGAAACTTTCAGGCCCAGGGCGGGGGCAGAGGGTGACTATGATGAAGACAGTCACAGCCCTCAAGGAGCTTTGCGTCACCTCCTGTGTTTGAGCTGAGTACAGGAGCCCAGGGCCACTCCAAAAAAAGGTCCCTAAAGCAGGTCCCTGCCCTGGTTCGGTTCACCTGGTTCCAGCATGACCAGAAAAGATGGTGGGTTGCAGGGCCAGTGCCCCCTTTAGTGGAACAGGGACATGCACCACAAGACTATGAGACCACCTTGGCACCAGGAGTGCAGGCCTCTTCGTGGGGCCCAGGAAGTTGCTGGAGCAGGAGGGGTTCCTTAAAGTTATCTGTTGGGCCACCATCCAAAGAAAGGCCATGATTGGCCTTTCTCATACATAGCATTTTTAATGCTTTTCAGCAGGTATCTTGTCTTGGAATTATAAAAATTGTATGTTAGATCCATCAAAAGTACCTCTCTAACATGTGAAAAGTTACAAACTTGCTATCACATGTGGGGCCCTGGAGGCATGAGGCTGAAGGAAGAAAGCAGCCCCAGCACATGTGCCCTGTGATGCCTTCGTGCCAAACGCCCAGAAGAGGCAGGTATGGAATCGGGAAGTCGGCTGGTGATTGCCAGGAACAGGGGTTGCGGGGGGTGGGGAGCAGTGGGGTTACTCTTTGAGATGAGGAAGATGCTCTAAAACTGATAGTGTGTTAACTCAGTGACATTGTCGAGCCACTGACTTGTGCAGTGTAAGTGGGTGAACCTATTTCAATAAAAGCTGTCATGTAGGAAGCACAAGTCAGAACTACCATGAGATGCCACCTCACACCCACTGTACGGCTACTATTGAAAAAAAAACAGAAAACAAAAGTGTTGGCAGGGATGCAGAGAAAAGGGAACTCTTGTGCACTGTTGGTGGGAGTGTAAATTGGTGCAGCCACTGTGGCAGTGTGGAAGTTTCTCAGAAATTAAAAATAGAGCTACCATATGATCCAGCAATTCCATTTCTAAGTATGTATCCAAAATAATTAAAAGCAGGGACTCAGACATATTTTTACACCTATGTTCACGGCAGCTAGAAGGTGAAACTACCCATCAACCATGGATCAGTAACAGAATGTGGTCTCTACATACAAGGAAAAAAGGAAGGAAATCCTGACACATGCTGCAGTGTGGATGAGCCGTGAGGATATTATGCCAAGTGGAATAAGCCAGCTGCCAAAAGAAGTATCACGTGGTTCACCTATACGAGGCCCTGGAGCAGTCACATTCATGGAGAGACCGCAGAAGGGCAGCATGGGAATTGTGGTTTAATGGGGGCAGAGTTTTAGTTTTGCAGGACAAAAAAGTTCTGGAGATTGGTTGCCCAACTGTGTGAGTGTACTTAACCTTACTGAACTATATACTTAAACTGATTAAGAGAGTAAACTTCCTGTTAATGTATTTTACCATAATTTAGAAAAGATCAATAAACTGAGTGTTAGCATTTCCCTGGCCACGCGTCCCTCCCTGCAGACAGCAACCACCTTACTCCTGAGCCCTCCAGCATCTCCATGACAACGTGTGTGTGTGTCTTTCTCTGCTCTTGTAAGGGGTCTTCTGCTCTCACCAGACAGTACTGCTTTGAACATTCTTGTGCAACCCTGACTTTGGGAGGAGTCTCCAGACTTTGGGGGTTCCATGCCTGAGGTTCCTGTAATCCCAGGTTCCTTTGAGACTGGCTTTGTGATGGTGTGGCGTCTGTCCTATGGGTTCTTTGAGGGGGCCCCAGGGTGCCTTTGATGACTGTTTCCTGGGTACTGCCGGGGCTGATTCAGATGAGGAGAGGGGAGACTGACTGGCTGGAAGCAAGTTGACCAGTCCCTGACCCCACAGCAGCAGGAGCATGGCAGGCCGTTCTGTGCACTGGCCAGTCCCGTTAGTTCCACAAAACCTACTGGATTCAAAGAGCTCCGAATCAGTTAGTAAAATTGGCTCCTTTTCTTCCTGGAGCCACTCTGTTCTCTCCCCAGGGACAGTCATAACTCTCAGGTCTTATATCTGCTCAGAAGCATTCTGTGCATGTAGAAACAAACATAACTCTTACAGAAATGCACTGAAGATGGCAGGCTACAGACACTGTTCTATACTTGACTTTTTCACTTTACTCTGAAGATTTTTCCATTATCAGCCTGCTCTCAGTTTTGTTTTTTAATATGGGCTCCTTTTACTATGTTCTCTTACTGTTCATTTCTCACCTTCAACAAAATGCAAAAATATAGTCCCTTAGTAAGGCTCAAAGGATCCCAGTTAGCTATTGTTGTTGTTTTTAATTTGCTTTTTGTACAGGGTTCAAGTTGGCTGGTGATGCTGAGATGGTTCAAGGTAACCCTCTAATTGGGTTCTTTCCTTAGTTGGGTTACTTTTGACCCAGAAACACAGCAGGCTACCTACAGTGGGCGCTGGGGTAGCCAGGGTTGGTGGCCATAGCCCCTGGCTTCTGAAGCAATAGTCTGTCAGCTAGGGGCCTGGATCTGGGGGTCTAGGCAGGATGTGAGGGCACCCCACCTGAGGGTGTGGGCGCTGACCACAGGGTGGGTCCTCTGAGTGAGTGGCTCTTGTGAGTCTATGTGGATCTTGCATTTGTCCTCATCCCTGCACTGGACCTGTTTCTCTGGGTGTTGCTGTCTGTCCTTTCTTGAGGGTACAGCGGTTTGGCTTCTGAAGCAGAAGTAGTGCTGAGCCCACGGTGGCATGCCCGCTGGGCTGGCTCCCAGCCTGCTGTGTGAGAGGGCCCCTGGGAGGGTTGGTTCGTGGGGATGGACAGGAGTCCACAGTAAGACCTGGGGGCTCCAGGCGGCCACAGCGGGTGGTCACCTGGTCCACACCGCCTCAGCCGGGTCGTCCTGACTGCCCCTGTCCACTGACTGTTGCTCTCTGTCCTGTCCAGGCTGAGCCAGGAGCCTGGAAGGACCTGTGCCACATGCACCAGTCAGTGGGGATGGCCTTGCCCAGCATGTCTGTGGGAGGAGCCAGGGAAGCCTTCCTCCAGGGTGGGTGCTAGCTCAGCCAGAGAGGTGAAGGCCAGGGAGCTGGGAAGGGCTGGGTGAGCCATCAGGTGAGGGTGGGGCCTACCGACATGCCCCTGGAATGGAGCAGTCTGGTCAACTGAGGCTTTCCTGTTGGGCCTGTCTTGTCACTGCACTTGGGGTGGCCACAGTCTGCCAGGCAAGCAGGGCGCTGCACTCAGGTAGATCAGGGTTTGGGCGAGAATGCTTTGTAATCTCGACCTTGTCCCTGTGTCTTGCTCTCAGTGCTCCAGAGGGACTCAGTGGCCAGAAAGCTCCACTTGGATTCCGACAGCAAGGCCTCTCCCCCAGAACCCCCTCTGTGGGTCAGCACGGTGCACAAACCCCATCCTTCCCTCCCCGAGCTTCTCTCCCGCTGCCTGGCTGCCTGTCTTGATTATGAACTTGAGAGCACAAAGGAGATCCCAGGCCAGGATGGCGCCTCTGAGACTGAGGTCATGCCTCAAAGGTTAGCTTGTCTGCTAAGGAGCTGAGTCCCATCTGGAGCCTGTCTCCTTTCTGAGTTAAAAAACCAAATGGGGAGACTCCAGCAACACCCCAGAGGAAGACTGTCTCTTCCAGGTTTATTGATTTCAGTGGTTCAGCTCATTAACTGCCTAGAAAGGCTGCCCTGCTAACTGGACACTGTAGCCAGGGCCTGGGGGGTGTCCCATCCCCAGGGGATGGCTTCTTCCCACCCACACAGTTTAATTGGGGCCTGTGACTTAATTGGGGGGCTTCCCCGAGCCCAACTTAGTTACAGTTAACTATTCCAGGATAAAGAGCCCCTCTGCCTAAGTCCTGGACCCCGGTGGTGCCTCCTCACCCTCTCCCCTGCAGCCTCAGGAGAGCATCAGGCCCACTGTTCATCCATCTGGAAAGCAGCTCTGCCTCCTGAGTTTGCTCACTTGTTTGCTTGGGTAGTTTTTCCCACCAAATCCCCCGGGAGCATGACCAGAAGGGCACCAGCAGCCAGCTCCCCATCACCCCTCCATCCTCCCAGAGCTCTGCCTGACAGTCCGGCCACTGCTGCCCTGAACACACAACTGTTTCCCACTTCAAAGGAAACACTGACCATGGAGATTCTGGAGTGACCTCACTTCACATGCCTTCCCTGGTCCTGATGTGCATGGTCGCTGACTGGGAAGCTCTGAGCCCTGCTCCCAGTGGCCTTTGGGTATGCACGGGGTGGTGGGAGGCTTGTCTCTATCTCCCGGCCACAGAGCAACCACCAGTGCCTAACTGTCTCCTTTTTCTCCTCATCTCTCCTTCCTAAGGGTGAGCCTGTCAGCCACAGACTGTTACATTGTGCACGAGATCTACAACGGGGAGAACGCCCAAGACCAGTTTGAGTACGAGCTGGAGCAGGCCCTGGAAGCCCAGTACAAGTACATCGTGATCGAGCCCACCCGCATCGGGGACGAGACGGCCCGCTGGATCACTGTGGGCAACTGCCTGCACAAGACCACCGTGCTGGCAGGCACTGCCTGCCTCTTCACCCCGCTGGCGCTGCCCCTGGATTACTCCCACTACATCTCCCTGCCCGCAGGCGTGCTGAGCCTGGCCTGCTGCACCCTCTACGGCATCTCCTGGCAGTTTGACCCCTGCTGCAAGTACCAGGTGGAGTACGACGCCTACAGACTGTCGCGCCTGCCCCTGCACACACTCACCTCGTCCACCCCGGTGGTGCTGGTCCGGAAGGACGACTTGCACAGAAAGAGACTGCACAACACGATAGCGCTGGCGGCCCTGGTGTACTGTGCCAAGAAGATCTACGAGCTCTGCGCCGTATGACCGCGCCGTGAGCGGCCAGCCAGGGAGGCATCTGGCGTCGCGGCTGTTATTGTAGAGAGATAACAGGTGACAAGTGCACCAAGGGTTTTCTCAGCTCGTCACACTAGGACGTGGATTTCCGCCGCCATGGGGCCTGCAGCTGTGGAAGTCCCACTGGGCAGCAGGATGTGATGGAAGCGAGGCTCCGGAGGGGGTGTGGACGCGCGTGGGGGTCGTTAAGTGTGCCGTTTAACTGTACCATCCAGAGCCAGCCAGAGGCTAGTGACCATTAAAATGATAATTTCAGCTCCAGGTGTCTGCTCTCTCGTGACGGCCCTGGTGGGAGCGTGCAGGCAGCAGGAGTGGGCACCACTTGCAGCAAGAATAAGCCTCTCACCAGGCAGGCCCAGCCCCTCCCAGAGGAGCCTCATGTCTCACCTGGGCCTTGGTTCAAGGAGCACTGCCCGGGGCTGCTCAGGGGTGGGGTGGGGCGAGGCCAGGCCTGCCAGTCTCTGGGTCTCTGCTGAGTTTGCCCAGAGAGCTGGGACCTGGGGTCTCTTGTCCAGGTTCTGATTTAGGAGAACACAAACTAATGCCTGTGTTTTTTTTTAAGCATCAAGGCTGTCCTGCTGTGGACCCTGAGTTCAACCTGCTGCCCCAGGCTGAGGGAAGACTCCCCTCGTCTTTCACCAAAGAGGGGGCCCTGCCGGCCCAAGACTCTGCTCGGGCCACCCTGAGGGCACATGTGTGAGTGACACCTGGAGTTTCAGAGGGTCCCTTGGGAAGGTCAGATACCAGAGTGAGAAGGGGTGCAGGGGAGGCATCAGGGTGCGTGGGACAGCGGGGCCATTTGTTTACGGGGAGAGCGCCAAAGATTTTAGAACAGTTAGAGAAACTCTGACTTAATTCCAGAGGCCTGGAAATGCTAGTCTGCAGCTGGGTGGCATATGGTCCACAGGTAACCTGGCAATGACTTAGGCCTCGTGTCCACAGTGCAATGCCTACCACCCCCCTGAGCCTGTGGGGTGGGAACAGGGTGGGGGCCAGATCTGGAAAGGGAGCCTGGCTCTGCCTGTAGACCACATTCGGGGGAGGTGGCCAGAGGCAGACAAACAGTGGCCACCTCAGGGCAGCTGAGCAGAAGCTGTCACTGAAACAAGCCTGGTGCAGGAGGGCAGCTCCAACACACTGGACGGGGAGGCCAGTCACATGCTGACCATTTGCTGCGCTGACCAAGACACTGGGGGCCCCGTAAACAGTGTGAAGGCCGCTGCCTCCTCCCTGAGAACCAGGTTCAGGTGACATAAGGGTGTCTTCTGACCCTAAGATGCAGAGGCTTGAGGTATGAAAGAGGCGTGGTTCTGCCTGCCCTCAGGGACCACAGCTCCCAGGCTCCTTCCTTTATTTCATGTCCCAGAGTTTAGACCCTCCACCTGGAGGAAGCTGTCCTCACCCCTCCTGGTTCCCAGATATCCTCCTAGTTCCCGTCCCCTGCCAGCAGGCCTGGCCAGGAACCTGCAGGGGGAGTGTGTCTCCCTCCTTCCCCACCCGGGAGGCAGAAGTCCAACACAGTCCCCATGGAGCAGCGACTGCCCCACCTGCCCACCAGGACGGGCACTAGCTGTGCTTGGACTTCCGCTCCTTCCTGGCCCGGGAGGCCATGAGTCTAAAGAAGAGCCCAGGAGCCAGAGTTCGAAGGTAAACAGCCAGGGACGGCATCAGGTCGGCCAGCACCACATCCTTCTTCTTCTTCCCCAGAGCAGCCAGGACGTCTTGGGCCACCTGCACAGGACTTCGGCCCTGGGCCGTGGTCTCATCCATCACTGAAATGAAACAGGAAACTCACTGAGCTTGGGGGCAGCAGCCCCAAGGAGGACCTTAGCCAACTCTGGACACTGGGTCCCCCAGGGAGCTCTCCCAGGGGCTTGGGCAGCAGGTGCAGCGACCGTCCCTGCAGTCCGAGGAGGGCGGTGGACAGCTCAGAACTGTGGTCCACAGCCTGGGGGTGCCCAGCAGATGCTCCCTCACTCCCTGACCTGGGGCATTTCAGCCAGTTGGTGCAACCAGTGACTAAGGGTGCTGTGCCAGGGCAGTGGGCCATGCAGGGGCCAGGTGGGTGGGAGGGCCTCAGAGCACGCTGGCTGGAGTGAGAGGAATGAGGCAGGTGGCAGGGCCCCTGTGTCTCGGGTGTGTGGGTGACGGGCAGGAAGGAAGCCTTGGTTTGTTTTGTCGACCAGAGGTCAGTGCAGGGGCACAGGATGTTACTTTTCCCTTGTCACTGGTGAACTGTGCCCACAAAGCAGGAGCAGCGGGCAGAGGGGAAGCCACCCACAGCGGCACTGCCCGGCTTCCTCTCCACCGTCAACACAGAACAGCAGGTTTCTGCTGGCTGCTCATTTTTGAATGCCACAGAGGGAATTTTTTAAAAAGATTCTTGGGACTTCCCTGGTGGTGCAGTGGTTAAGACTCTGTACTTCCAATGCTGGAGGCATGGGTGCAATCCCTGGTCAGGGAACTAGATACTGCATGTCATGGGGTGTGGCCATTCTTCTAGGAATAAATGCATACGAACTTATCCAGCCTCGTGCTTCTGAATGGCTCCTGCTGCCTTGCTGAGTGAGGGGGCTGCTGCCGTGGTCATGGGTGGTCTTGGTTCAGGCTTGGCCAGGAGGCCCCTGGTGGACACAGCATACTCCCAGGAGCACGTCCCAGGAGGCAGGCCCCGAGCAAGTGCAAAAAGGCAGCTCGTGGGTCCACCAGCTGGGGAGGCAAAAGCCAGCTGGTCCTGGTTGGCCCCACCTGCACGCTGCGGCCTTGCCGATTGGGCCATTAATGGTGACTGCAGGTCAGCTGTGTGCTGTCTTTTGCCTCTGCCTACCCCTGAAATCTTGTCCCCCCAATACTGCAGGGGAACCTCACGGGAAGAGACCTGGCCTGGTCACTTTAGCACTAACAACAGGCTAGCTGGAGTCTTGGCAGCATCTCAGTAGGGGCTCCCCTCAGCCCTGTTGTGGGCCTGTTCCCACAACTTCCTCCAGCCTGCAGGGTTCAGGGTAGAGATGGTTGGTGCTGAGGTTGGTCATCAGTATATATGACCAACCTCACAACATCAGGTGGTTTAAACTGATACTCTCAATAAAACTGCAAAATCATCAGGGAGCTTTCACAGAGGAACGCACGCTGGGGCCTCACCTCCATACTTGGATCCGTCGGCTGTGACTGCGTTAAGGGAGAGATTGGTGTGGATGTACCCAGGGCTGATGACCGTCACCTCGATGTCATGCTGCTCCACCTCAGCCCGCAGACAGTCAAAGAAGGCCTGGGTTGCGTGTTTGGAGGCCGCGTCTGCAAAGGTCGGTCACCAGGGAGGGTAGGATGATGCTGGTCAGGATCCTGAACAGGAGGGCATCAGGTTTCCCACTCCGGTTCAGAGATTACCCTGTGCATCTTACGTACATGTACTCTCACAGGACACGACGCAGCACATATGGTCAAAAGTTCGTGGGCATTCTTGCTCCTGCAAGTTCTAAGTGTGAATTTAATCTAAAAGTTAAAAAAGTCTACTGTGTAAAACATTCAGATAGTTGAGAAGGAACTAAAGTAAGAAAGCGAAAATCCTCCTCACACCTCCCAGCGCAGTTCCTCAGAAGGGCCAGGCTGCTGGTGTCTCACGTCAGCCAGGTCCCTGCACAGATGAGGACATGGCCACAGGTTGCTCCTATGGTCCATGTTACTCATGCTCAGGGTTCTCTCTATGTGGAAGGCTGGCTGGGTGGCTGCCGTGTGACTCAGGGTCATAGCCACAGAACGGGCTCAGCATTGTTTCAGGTTTCGCTGCTGAAAATGTCCAGGGATGCTCCCTGCCTGCATGGCAGCATGTGTGCAAACCCATGCTAGGCCCCCTCACATCTATCTGTCAGTTCCCACGGGGCAGCCTCGTGTGTGGAAGAGTCCCCAGAGCTCTGCGTGCTCACCTCCTGGATCTTCCCACCTGGCATCACAACAGCCCCGAGGGGACGAAGCCCCTCCCACTTCACGACTGGGGAGCCCACTGCCTGTGGGTTGGCGAAGGACTGTGCCCAGGAGGTACCACCTTGTCCAGCCTGGGGGTTATGAAGCTTCCAGACCAAGTGTGACCTACGCAGTCACAGCCAAGAGGAGGATAAAACTCAGACCAAATCCAGTGACGTCTAGAAACAACTCAGTGCAAAGAGCACTGTGCACCCCCAGCCTGAATCCCTGGTGTGGCCCCTGCTGTCAGCTGTGATGCCCACACATTTCCTGAGGAAGCCATCCTCTGCCAGTAACTAAAACCACCCACCAGCCCAGGACAAGTGTGGACACGGCATCCCCGGGTGTCTCAGGTCGTCTTGAGTGTGGCCGCGGGGGTGAGGAAGCTGGTGTGGGCTCACGAGCCCCACAGCTGGCCCTAGACACACACTTGCACCAGTAGTAGTGCTGGGCTGCATCCAGTTCTGATGGGCTCCCTGCCAACTGAGTGTGGCATGTGGCCCTCCTCTCCAGGCTCTGCCCCTCCCCTCCACACGCCCTCTCCCCTCCACACGCCCTCTCCACTCCATACACCCCCTCCTCGCAGCTGCCTCGGGCATCTGGGGGCGAGGGGTTTGGTTACAACAGAGTGTTTCCTTGCGGACGGTGGACCAAAGAACACAGTTACCAGGACAGTGTGTGACATTACCGCTAACATTTTTAAACAAAAGTAGAATCTGCCTGCTGGTGCGCCATGATGGTGCAGTCCCACCATCCTGGCACAGCTGTGCACACTGGGAGGTGAGTCTAAACTGAGGTCGAGCTGGCAGCATTTACACTTTCTGGAATTAATCTTATTGAAACTCTCACAGCGAGTGAGTGCCCAGAGATAAAAACAGAAGGACACAGCACGCAGCACATCCCTGCTGCTGGCCACTGAGGAAGGCAGTCCCCTCAGGCACTGAGACAACCCCTGAGTTATGTGACGCCCATCCATTCAGCAAGTAGGGAGCTGAGTGGGAAGATACTGTCAAGCAGGAAAATGGAAGCACAGAACTACATGTAAGGGCCCCAGCGCTGTACATCTCATCACACGCAGAACTCTGGAGGCATGTGCAGTGATCGAACGGAGGGGCAGCACCTGTGGGCTGATGGTGGTGGTGGCACTGGGAGGGGACCTGGCACATAGTCACACGTGGTGTGAGGAGCAGAGCTGGGACTGAGCCCAGCTTCTGCTCAGGGGCACACACCTCTCAGGTCCCCACACGCTCTGTGCTGAGCGTCCCTCATGTCTGAATTCTGGACAGGGAGCCTGCTGCCTTCACAACAGGAGTAAACAACAACAGACGTGCAGGCAGGAGGAGTTGGCAGGAACACCTGATGGGAGGAGGAAGCACTCACAGGCGGATCGGAAAGGCAGGCTGATCTTGCCCTGGATGCTGCTGATTGCAACCACGTGGCCCTGGCGCCTTCTGATCATGGCAGGCAGGAGCGCTGTGGGGAGAGGGCAGAGGTCACCGTCGCTCACATGGAGAGCCAGGGAGGGCCATGTCTGAGAGTGCTCAGCCCCCTGTGCACTGCTGTGAGAACCGTGGCAGGACGTCAGAATGCTTCTGCCGTGCCCCGCCTGCACCTGGTAGGTCGCCAAACACGATGGAAGGATATGGAGGCAACGACACAGCGCAGGCCCAGGCCCAGAAAAGCCAACCCCGAGTTGCAAGGACAGCACTGACCCCAGGGTGGAGTGGATAAGCAGCAGGTCCAGGAAGAAGGAATCACAGGAAATGAAAACAATGCCAACCTGCCCGGGCACTTCTCCCTTCTGACCCAAGAACTTACCCTTTGTCAGAGCTACTGGACCAAAGTAGTTTGTCTCCATCACTCTCTTATCCACATCTGGGCTGGTGTCCACAATGGCACCTCGGTAGCTGATCCCAGCGTTATTGATGAGCACGTCCACATGGCCAAAGCACTGCAGGATCTTGGAGGCAGCCCCTGCTATGGCTCCAGGGTCTGCGAGGTCGAAGGTCACCGTATAAGGCTTGTGTGTCTGCACCTGGTCAAGTGCGACAGAAGCCAAATGAACCTTCAGAGTGACGCTTTGGCCTGGATCCTCATCGTGGGGGTGGCCTAGCGTGAAGGACAGGCTGCAGCGCTTCCCTGAAGAATGTGGCCTCGGGGAGCCTGCCCGTCATGCTCACACGACCTGGGCAGCGCTGTGGGCAGGGGTCACAGACGAGGTGAGCAGGGCCCCCTCCACCCTAGGCCAGCAGGACACTGTACACTGTCCCACGTTACAGAGCTGCTTTGCCTCTCAGGCCAAGTCAGTTTATTCTTTGTTCACAAAACATTTTTATACACTCCTATGTGCCCAATGCTGGAGATACAGCAAAAGCAAGGCGGACATATTTCTGTCCTAAAGCATACGGTCTCATGGGGAAGATGGACACACTATAGCTGTAAAGAACGTCGCGAGAAAAAAACTACTAGTGGACATTCTGACTCAGAGGATGCCCTGAACCTAAGCAGATGAGAGAGGGGTGTGGAGTCGGAGAGGACCTCAGGAGTTGCTCTCTCCCTGGACAGCTCAATGGCAGTGACTCAGCTCTGAGGTCAAACTCTTTGAACGCCTGCAGCTTCCAGGGGGCCTGCTCATCCAGCAAAGTATAGAAAATGTTGCCTGATTTCAGTCATTAGCTCTATGGTGACCACTCCCCTGTGGTGAGAAGCTGTGAGAAAGGCAACCCACATTTCTCATGCAGCTTCCAGGAGCCAAGGCAGACCCTGTCTCCCAAATGCTGGGGCTGTATTCCAATGGTGGATGCTGTTCTGATGGCTGACCTACATCTTCTTGTCATGGCTGCAGGAAACAAGATCAATACAAAACACCCAGCTGTGTTTCTACATACCAACAATGAATAATCTGAACGAGAAATTAGGCAAGCAAGACCTTTTATAATAGCAGCTAAGAGAATTAAATCCTTAGGAATAAATCTAACTAAAGAGGTTGAAAGACTTATACATGGAAGGCGGTAAGACACATGATAAAAATGGAAAGACATCCCATGTTCATGGATTGGAAGACTTAACATTGTTAAAGTGACAATACTATCTAAAGTGATCTAGACTCAACACAATTCCTATCAAAATCTCAATGCCATTTTTGTCAGGTAAAAAAAGTCCTAAAATCCATATAGAAGTGCAATAGCTATTCAGGAATAGGAGAACAATTTTGGAGACAAGAAAAGTTGGAAGATTCACACTTTCAGTCTTTGAAACTTACTACTGAACTATGCAGGTTAAAACAGTATGGTAATGACATAAGGACAGGCATATAGATCAGTGGAACAGAATACAGTGCCCAGAAATAAACCCTTAAATTTAAGAATTTTGACAAGGTTGCCAAGGCCATTCAAGAGGGAAAGGAACTCTGGGCAAACTAGATATCCACATGCCAAAGAATGAAGCTGGAATCTTACCTATCACCATGTACAAACATGGCCTCCAGGGCTTCTCTGGTGGTCCAAGGGTTAAGAACCCGCCTGCCAGTGCAGGAGACAGGAGACTCAGTTTTGATCCCTAAGTCAGGAAGATCCCGTGAAGGAAATAGCAACCCACTCCAGTATTCTTGCCTGGAAAATTCCATGGATAGAGGAGCCTGGCAGGCTACAGTCCATGGCATCACAAAGAGTCAGATGTGACTGAGCACATACACTCAATATCTAGAGTATACATAGAACTCCTCAACAACAAACAACCTGATTACAAATCAGGAAAAGGACTTGAATTGACATTTCTCCAATTAAGATATATAAATAAACACATGAAAAGATGCTCAGCACCACCTGTAGTTAGGGAAATGCAAGTCAAAAGCACAATGAGATTCCACTTCTATCTCCTAGGACAGTATAATTAAGAAACAGAAAACAGCCAAGTGCTGGCACAGATGTGAAGTCAGAACCCCTGTGCAGTGCTGGTGGGACTGTAACTTGGTGCAGCTGCAAGTGGAAAACAGTTTGCAGTTCCTCAAAAGGTTAAACTAAATCTACCACAAACCCTGCCATTCCACTCCCAGGGATGTCCAAAACAGCTGAAAGCAGGGACTGGAGCAGATACATGTCCACCTGTGTCCACATCAGCATCATTCACAACAGCCCACAGGTGGAGATGCCTTGCAGTATGTCAAGAAAATGGACAGACCAAGTGTGGAACATCTGTATACACAACGGAATACCAGTCCATCAGAAAGAGGAAAGAAGTTCGGACACACGCTGTAACGTGGATGGACCCTGAAGACAGTACGCTTAGAGAAATAGCTAGTCATAGAAAAACAAATATTTTCATTTATATGAGGTATCTAGAACAAGCAAATTCATAGAAAGTAGAATAGACATTTCCAGGGACTGGAAAGCAGAGGAAAAAGTGGATTGTTTAAGTGGGAACACAATTTTTGTTGGGGACAGACAAGTGATCATTACAAACATGGTGAATGCACTTACTATCACTGAACTGTAAGCCTGTAAGAGGTTAAAATGATAAATATGTGTATTCCCCCACAAATAAAACGTTAAAAGTCATTGCCAACCTCCCACCACCAAAAAGAGATGAATAGGTACTGGGGGGGATGGGGAGAACTCATAGAGAGACCTCTCTAAGCATGCCGTGGTACACAGTGGTGGGTCTGAGCCCAGTCTGCTGTGAAGACCTGCAGAGGACGGACTGCACCTGTTCCCCAGGCAAGTCCCCCAGGCTCACTCACCTCTGGAGTCCGGGAAGCAGCAAGTTCTTGGCTGAGCTCCTCCAGGGCCTCGGCGTTCCGGCCACAGAGCACCAGCCTAGCACCCGCAGCGTGAAAAACTCTGGCACATTCTAGGGGACAAGAAAGCAGCCTGTCGTCTGGGGAGACCCAGGCCCTCGGCCCCGTCAGCTCAGCTCCCAGCTCCCCAGCCTCAAACTGCGGGCCATTTCTTCCCCAAGCATCGGTACTAGCCCTGCTGTGGAGGGGTGTGGGGCTGGGAGTCAGGGCCCTCGCAGAGCCATGTTCAGGGCTGTGACACATCCACGGGCAGGAGGGAGGCTAGAGACAGACTATCGGGTACCAGGCTCAGGATTTTCCAACACAGTCTTCAGCTCTGACCCCCGCTGTGAGCAGGATCCCCGCTGTCACAGTGAACAAGCTCCGTGAGGCAAGGGACATGCCCAACAGCAGCACCAGAGTCACCCCCGTCCCCGAGGCCTGTGGTTCGCTGTCACCTCAATACAACAGGCACATGTGTGCCAGGGGCGCTTCTGTGGGCACACAGGACTCTAGTGAGGGGGTGGGGAGACGCCCCAGACCTGAAGCCTGTAGGGCTGTCCCTCCCGAGGCTGCCCAGGCCCGAGGGCTGATAGACACACGTGCTCTCTGCACACTACGCTGCTCAGTTGTGTCCAACTCTCTGCGACCCGACGAACTGCCAGGCTCCTCTGTCCGTGGGATTCTCCAGGCAAGAATACCACAGTGGGTTGCCATTTCTCTCCACACAGTGAGGACAGAAAGTGGGGAGGCTGACAGCCTTGCAAGAAGGTTAAAGAACAGCAGGGGGACAATAAGAGCGACATCACTTCAAAATGATGGGAGGCAGGGGGATGAGACCAGGCACCTCTGAGTCACTAGAGCATCCAGGTGACAACTAAGACCAAGGCAGGGCAGAGTCCAAAACTACCTGGGCACCTGTCTTCGTCAACATTTGGTGGCAAAGCAAAAAGCGGGCTTGTCAGAAAGGTTCCAGGCAGCTCAGGAATTCAGAGAAGGAGCTGAACGGTCCAGATGGGGGGACAGGAGTGGGCTGCCCAGGGTCCCAGGCAGCAGGAGCCCAGCTCTCTGAATGCTGGCAAGTCCCTTCCCCACTTCATCCCCCAGCCTCTCCACAGAGGGGGTGGGGCTGCAGACAACTCTGGGTTCCCACAGACATCACTCCCCAGCCACACAAGGGGGCCTCTGACCTGTTTCCTCCAAGCTCTAGTGTCAGAATTCGAGGGAAGGGCCAGATTGGGCATGGTTGGGGCAGAATCACCATGACTGGGCCGGCCAGGGTCACCTGGGAACCCCAAGACCACAATGGGAAGGGTGGCGGGAGCAAGGAGTGATGCCCCAAACACGGCCGAGCGGTGACTGCCGCGAAGCTCAAAGCCCCGAAGTCAAGAGGACAGACATGAGTGAGACTTCCTGTGATGGACTCAGTCTCCCTGAGAGGCCTCCTCATCCCCACTTCCCTCTTGTGAGGACTGAGTGCGTCACGGCAGCCTCAGGCAGACAGAAAGTGCCAGCCAGGGCTAAGTGTGTTTCTAAGCCGCCTTTTTAGGACTGCTCAAAGGACATCCCTGGTGGTCCAGTTTATTAGGACTCCCCACTTCCACTGCAGGGGGCGACTGTTCAACCCCTGGTTGGGGAATTAAGATCCCCCATGCCATGCTGCAAGGCCAAAAAACAAATTAAAAAACTGAATGTTGGCAAAAATGGAAACGTGGGGTTTAAAGGGCCACAGCCTGTCCTCACTGGAGGCCTGGCCGTGCTCAGGTGCCCACGAGCAGGTCTGTGCAGCCCCCATGGCCCCAGCTGACCATGCAGCCACCCTATGTATCAGACTAAGTCTCAGGCCTAGCAGTCAAGTGGAGTCTTGGTGCTGTGGGCACGGATTCAGGGTTGGAGGAGGCTCTGGGGTCCAGGCGACATCCTTCCCTGGCCAAAGTGAGGGCATAATGCCAGTGTCCCTCAGGAAAGGAGGGAGGAGGTTCCGGGTGACAATGCCCTCTTTCCAGACACAGCTCCTCCTGCAGTCTCACTTGCTCCCCTGAAGCCCATCCTGACCAAGGGCTCAAACCCAGACTGAGTCAAGCCCCTGCTCTGGCCCCGGATGGGCTACTTGGGTCACAGCCCAGCTGAGTCTCCTTGGGTGCAGTGGGGCAGGGGTCGGGGGTGCTCTCACAGAGACCCTCAGCATTCCCGAGGCCAGTTTCCTACCCTTCCCAAAGCCCTGCTGGCTTCCTTATCCTGTTTCATCCTGACCTGACTGCCATGGTGGACATTCTGTGAGCTGCCACCAAGACCTAAGGTGGGGGACACAGGGGTCCACATGGCTCTGGAGACTGTCATCCACTTCCCAGCAAAACAAAGGGAGGAAATTAGAGCTTGCACAGGAGTGATGGGGATGCAAACAACAGACTGGGGAGATGCCATTTTCATTTCCTGAAAAAGCTGATACAGAGAAGGGTAGAAGGAAAAGGAGCACATTTATCTCGGCTGCCAACCAGTCCCCAGGCCTCTAGCCCTGCTGGCTTATAACCCACCAGCTGCTCACAGCTGTGGAGCCAAGATGTGTCCCTTCACCCGGTGTCCTGCTGATCCACAGGACAAGCTGGGAGACACAGCAGGAGGAACACGGAGGGCCGTCTGAGCACCCGGCGTGTCTGCCAGGCCTCCAGGGTGGCCGACGTGGGCAGAGCCACGAGGGTGGGCGAGGTCTCCTCCCCACAACCCATGGGCAGTGGCCAAGGGGTGTCTGTACCGAGGCCAGAGGGGAAGAGACACACGGCCTCCTGGACCTCTGATGGGACCCAGGAAACAGCAGGAGGAGCACAGACACACAAAGACACACAGACCCCAGTGCTGCACGAGGAAACGGGATGAAGAGAGGACAGCCTCTCCCCTACACACGTGCAGGCTGGCCCCGCAGCTGCCTCTCCCGCAAAGCCAACCCTCAGATGCTCTTCAAGGACGCTAAAAAAACCACTTCTGTCTGCTGCAAAGCAGTGGCCGCTAAGAATCTATATTTAGAGCTGAGTAAGGTCAGAGGCTCAGCTGTGGCTTGAGGCCGGGAGATCTGATGACAGACCTCAGGTCACCCCCAAGACCTCACCTGAACACCATGCTGGCGCACGCACAGACCCCTGCTCCCCGAAGCCTGCAGGTCCCCTGGCCACCTGCAGTCCAGTCCTCATCTGCTCCCCCATGATGTTCCCACAGCCCTCGCACGGCCTTGCTACTCTGGGCCCTTCCTGCCCACCTTGCTGCCTCCCCAGGGAGAGGAGACGCGGGCTTGCATTTGGCTTTGGGTTTCTGCCTACAGATCCCAGGAGGAGTCACGCCTTCCCTGAGTGTGTGGAGGACTCGGGAGATGAGCCTGAGCCAGTACACACCTGGGTGCTACGCCTGCCAGCTGTGGGGAACACATGGGGTACACACGGGCAGAAGTCCCTCTTCTCTGCAGGACCTGGGCTCCCCGAGGGGAGGACCCTGCCTCCTGTCATCTGTCCCAGCATGTGGTGGGAGACACAAAGGTGCTGGGTGTACCCCACTGCAGGGTGCCTCTTGGCCTCATTCCACGGAACTGAGCACCAGTGTGGGGAGTATGTAGGGTGGCGTGGCACACGTGCAGATTCCAACACACCTGCACTGGTATGCTCTGCTGAGGGCAGCCTGGGACCCAGAAGCTCCATGTGGGTCTAGAACCAGACTAGAACTGAGCCCAGCTGGAGACCGGCTGAGGAACAGCTGATGCCTCATTGATGCTGTCCTGATCTGCCCGGATACAGCTGAAGGTCCCGTGAAGAACAGTGAGGAGAAGGTGACCCCAGAGCCTTAAACCAGAGATGCGGATGAATCTAGTAAAGACCCTCAAAGAAGCAAACACATTCTTCAATTCAATGGACATGAGTTTGAGCAAACTCCAGGAGACGGTGAAGGACAGGGAAGCCTGGCGTGCTGCAGTCCATCTCTGGGGACCTCTTTGGGGTCGCAAAGAGTCAGACATGATGGAGCGACTGAACAACAACTAGGAAGTTGGGTGCCACCACATACAGATGCCCGTCTCCACGCTGACCGGCACTGAGGCCGCCCCAGACATGCGCGTGGCCTTCTCCCTGGCTGCCACCTCCAGCCCTGGTGCTCCCATGGCCTTTTCCTCATGGCCCTCGCTGCCCAGTCACCAGTCGACATCATGTGTCTGCACCCACACCCCCGGCCCCTCCCCCACAGCCCCTCCCCCACAGCACTGCCACACGACCCACCTCGGCCCAGGCCCGACGTGGCGCCGGTGATGACCACCACGGCGTTTCGGACGTAGGCCCTCATGCGCAGCCACTGAAGCAGCTTGAAGAGGCTGAAGAGGCCCACGCAGCCCAGGAGCAGGGGCAGAATGGCCGTGGAGGTGATGAAGTCCATGACCCGTGCCCTCAGCAGACTCTTCCTGGAAGAACAAAGTACATAAATTAGTGACAAGCTGGGGGGACACCAGGGATTTGGCCATGCTCCGCCCCTGAGTCTGACACAGACCCCAGGTCCCACGTCTGGGCCTCAGTTCTGAGCCCAGCAGGATCTCCCCAGGCCCTACACCCCGTGTGGACCATTCAGTATGGTAGAACCATCTTCCTCTCTGTAGGGACACAAGCAGGCATCACAGGCTGAGCTGGGTGGCTGAGGACCTGCTCCTGGAGCGTGTCAGCACCCACCGGAGTCTCCCTCAGAAACCTGTTTTGGGGAAATTGACACCACCCAATATTATTTCCAATTCCTGGTATTTGTGAAATGAGAAAAGTTTTTCTGTAAAAAAGGAAAAAGGAAGCCATACGATCCTTACACTCCTCTCAGAAGAGAGGACGACCCCTGGACGGTGTCCTCAGTGGCCATGGGCCTCAGGATGCCCCAAGGGACTCACAGCATGGTGAGCACCCTCTGCGATGCGGGCACAGACTCAAGCCTGGAGCGGAGGCTGCACACTGTGGCCTGTGCCCGCCCAGTGTCACTGGTGAGCCATGTCCCCCCAAAAATCAGGAGGCCATGGCAGTGGGCAAACAGCTGTGCACGGTCTACACTTAGGAAATGTCCACTCCTTCCACGACTTACCCCCCACTCCCCACACCCCCATGCCCAGAGGGGAGACATGGGGCTAAAGGCACGTTGAGGAGGAGCTGAGGGGAGCAGTACCATGTGTGCCACCCAGAGAAGGTGGCCCCAGGCCCTCCAGGACCATGAGATTAGGGGCTCGGGGAAGAAGGGCTGCAAATCAGAAGAGACTTCAATCATTCGTCGGACTGAATGACTTCACAAAGCCCTTGCCCAATCCCAAGCCCTCAGCTCAGTTCAGTCGCTCAGTCGTGTCTGACTCTTTGCAACCCCAAGGACTGCAACATGCCAGGCTCCCCTGTCCATCATCAACTCCTGGAGCTTGCTCAAACTCATGTCCATCGAGTCAGTGATGCCATCCAACCATCTCGTCCTATCGTCCCCTTCTCCTCCTGCCTTCAATCTTTCCCAGCATCAGGGTCTTTTCCAATGAGTCAGTTCTTCACATCAGGTGACCAAAGTATTGGAGTTTCAGCTTCAGCATCAGTCCTTGCAATGGATATTCAGGACTGATTTCCTTTAGGATTGACTGGTTTGATCTCTGTGCAGTCCAAGGGACTCTCAAGAGTCTTCTCCAACACCACCGTTCAAAAGCATCAATTCTTCAGCACTCAGCCCCGCATGTATAAGGATGTGTTTCCCCTCTTCCCATGACAGCACCCACTCTGTGGTGCCTCGAAGGCAGGAACACATGGAACCCTCATGGGCCCACCTGTGTGTGCCTGTACTGCCCTGACCCTGACGTCCAGGTTTGCGAGGGCCATCCTGATCTAAGCTACAGGGCTCTGTTCCAGTTGGAAATGTCAACAAAGCTAGTTCAGTGTTTTTCTTTTCACCTGCCTTTCCCATACACCTAAAATCTTAATCAGCATAAAAAATTAACATCCGTGGACAAACATCTGCAAAAACGACTCTTTCCTATCAACATCCACTTAATATACTTCTGAAACACCCTGGCTACTGTCTGCTAAGTGGGCATATTCCCCTCTCACCTGCCACTGTGCCAAGCCCACACATGAATGTCCTGGCAATCCAAGTGGCTTCCAAAGCACCTAGCTCTTTACCTGGGTACTACTGGCACCAATGCCTAGCCTCAACTGAATGTTCAGGCCCAGAAGCAAGGGGAGGACCTAGAGGTCCTTTGGCGCCTAGGAAGTTCTCAGGGAGGTTCAGTGTGGGTAGGAGCACCTCCGGCACCCATGGATCTGTGGGTGCCGCCTGGGGACCTTCACAGGGCCCAGCCCTGAAGGCTGTGAGTACACTTCAACCCAGCAGGATGGCTATGCAGGAAGAGCTTTATCCCCATGGCCACCCCAGACCCTCATACAAAGTAGGTCCCAAGAAGGAGCACGCTGCTTGGCTCAAATGACCCAGGCCCAGCCACTGCCCAGGAAGCCCCGGAGGTGGGGACACTGCTAATGGAAGGACAACAGGCTCAGCTTTCCGGAGACCACAGCCCTGTGGAGCCTGCCCATGTCAGGCTTCACTGAAGGCTAAAAGTGAAGCAGCAAGCCCCAGCACACAGCCGTGTTGCCTCCCAAATTCAGAGGTTTCCGAGACCGTCTGGAGAACACAGACGTGGTGGTGGCAGCACAGGGGCTCAAAGACGAGCCCTCACCCTGCTGGCCGGGCGCACAACCTGCTTCGGCCTCTTCCCAGCCTGGGTCGGGGCCACTCCGCTGGGGTCTTGGCACCCGAGTTTGTAAAGCGAGGTCTGTAAAACAGGTCTGTGGTGAAGGATGAATTAACACATAGAAGTATGTGGGTCCCTGGCCCAGGGTAAGAGCTCAGTAAACACAGCTTGCACCAGCAGCATCATGACCCATCACTAACGGAAAGCCCAGGAATCAATTTCACAGCAATCAGATCTCCAAGGTTGTCTGAAGGGGTCTCTGGTTTATGAAATAAAGGAAACTCATCAAATATTGCTATAATTTAATTTGTATGCCTCATAAACCTCCTGGTTTAATTAAAGTAACAAATAGGAAGAAAGAGACAGAATCCCGTATCCCAGACTTCCCTAGTGGTACAGTGGATAGGAATCTGCCTGCCAATACAGGGGACACAGGTTCGATCCCTGGTCCAGGAAGATTCCACATGCCATGGAGCAACTATGTCCATGTGCCACAACTACCGAGCCTGTGTTCTAGAGCCCAGGCGCTGCAATTACTGAGCCCACGTGCCCTAGCTACGGAAACCCAAGCTCCCTAGAGCCTCTGCTCCACAAGAAAGAAGCCACGGCAATGAGGTCACATACCGCAACTAGACAGCAGTCCCAGCTCACTGCAACTATACAAAAGCCTGTACAAAACTGTACAAAAGCCCAGCACAGCCAAAAATTTAGAAATAAATAAATAATACTAAAATATAACATACAGAAATTGGTTGCATCACTTTACACTAACAATGAAATACCAGAAATGAACAAGCAATCCCTTTAAAAATAGCATGAACAAATAAAATAAAATACTCAGGAATAAACCTGACCAAGGAGGTAGAAGACTTATATGCTGAGAACTATAAAACATTAATAAAGGAAACAGAAGGTAATTCAAAGAAATGGGAAGATATCCTATGTTCTCCAATTGGAAGAATACTGTTAAAATGGCCATGCTACCCAAAGTAACATACAGACTTAATGTGACCCCTATCAGTTTACCTATGACATTTTTCACAGAACTAAAACAAATAATCCCAAATTTTATATGGAACCATTAAAGACCCAGAATTGCCAAAGCAGTCCTGAAGAAAAAGAACATAGCAGGAGGCATAAACCTCCCAGCCTTCAGATAACACTACAAAGCTACAGTCATCGAAACAGCATGGTATTGGCACAGAAACAGACACATGGATCACAGGATAAGAACAGAGAGCCCAGAAATAAATTCAAAGACCTACAGACATTTTCCCAGTAAGCGGCCTGAGGGGACCCCTAAAAATGGTGCGCTATTCACTTGACCCAGAAAACCCCACTAAATCATGCAAATCAAAAGGTTCAAATCTTCGTGTTCACTGTAAGAACATTCGTAAAACTGCCCAGGCCATAAAGGGTATGAATATCCGAAAAGCCACCAAGTATCTGAAGGATGTCACTTCAAAGAAGCAATGTGTGCCATTCCGTTGTTATATCGGTGGAGTTGGTAAGGTGTGCACAGGCCAAACAGTGGGGCTGGACACAGGGTCGGTGGCCCAAAAAGAGTGCTGAATTTCTACTGCACATGCTGAAAAATGCAGAGAGTAATGCTGAACTTAAGGGCTTAGATGTAGATTCTCTGGTCATTGAGCACATCCAGGTGAACAAAGACCCCAAGAGGCGGCGCAGGACTTACAGAGCTCACAGTCGGATCAACCCCTACATGAGCTCTCCCTGCCACATTAAGATGATCCTTACTGAAAAAGAACAGGTTGCTCCTAAACCAGAAGAGGAGGTTGCGCAGAAGAAAAAGATATCCCAGAAGAAACTGAAGAAACAAAAACATATGGCTTGGGAATAAATGCCACAAAAAATAAATGCAAATAAAAGTTAAAAAAAAAAAAAAGACCTATGGACAATTAATCTTCAACACAGGAAGAAATAACATACCATACGGGGGGAAAAAGTTATGTTCAGCAAGTGGTGCTGAAAAAGCTGAACACCTACATGTAAATCAATGAAGTGAGAACACACCCCTCACACCATACACAAAAATAAACTCAAAATGACTTACAGACTTAAATATAAGATGTGTCTGACTCTTTGTGAACCCATGGACTGTCCATGGAATTCTCCAGGCCAGAATACTGGAGTGGGTAGGTAGCCTTTCCTTTCTCCAGGGGATCTTCTCAACCTAGGGACTGAACCCACATCTCCCGCATTGCAGGTTGATTCTTTACCAGCTGAGCCACAAGGGTAACCCAAGAATACTGAAGTGGGTAGCCTATCCCTTCTCCAGTGGATCTTCCTGACCCAGAAATAGAACTGGGGTCTCCTGCATTGCAGGTGGATTCTTTACCAAGTGAACTATCAGGGAGGCTCAAATATAACACAGGACACCATAAAACACCTTGAAGAAAACACAGGCAAAACATTCTCTGACATAAATGGTACCAATGTTTTCTTAGGTCAGTCTCCCAAAGAGATATAAATAAAAGCAAAAATAAACAAATGGGACCTAATCAAACTTACAAGCCTTTGCAAAGCAAAGGAAACCACAAACAAAATGAAAAGACTTAAAAAAAGACTGGGGGAAAATACTTGCAAATGATGTGACCAACAAGGCTTAATTTCCAAAATATATAAACAGCTCACACAACTAAACAAACAACCCAATCGAAAAATGGGCAGAAGACCTAAATAGACATTTC